GCTCGCCCTGGTTTTGTCGCGTAGCATCATGACGAGCCGTGGCCGTTGGCAACGAGTCAACTCCACCAGTCCCGTCTTGTGAGGACATGTATACCCCTCCGTGCCCTGCGGCTACGCGTAACTCTTTGTGCGCTGCGGGTAGCAGCGGTTAGATTCAACGGCATGGGACGCAGCCAGCGTCTCCGCGAGCGGTCGTTGTGGCTCCCAACCGCGAATGGCACGAAAGAGTTACTCGCGCCGCACTCCACGAGCCATGCGTGCCAGTCTCGTGCAAAGATCCCCGGGTGCCTGTCAGGCAGCGATAACCGCTGGCCCACCACCAGCGCGCCTCTCGCTCCTAACCTCCGTTCGGCGCCGCGAATCGCGCAATTCGAGGAACGCGAGGTTGGGCCAACTGATGCGAGGCCGCGTAAACGCATAAATGTCGGCAGACTCGCACTTCGACCTTCACAGTCGCTTCTGCTCCAGACCTCACCGACTCATTCGCCTTCTTCCCCACCCTCGCCCGCTGCGAGGAAGCCAGTCTAAAGGCCCCTCGTGCCCTCCGCAGACCCGCTTTCCTCACACCGTTTCCGTCTCTTAGACGCTTCAGATACTCCACTACTTTCCTCGCACCGTTCCCGCTGCGTGTTCGACCGGTCTCAAGTCCCCATGGCGTCTCCTCGTTGCGTTCCTCGCTCGCTGCCGCCTGCCATGGCGGCTGCCGCGCTCTGCCTGCTCGCGCTCGCCGTGCTCGCCGGCTCCGCTGCTGCCGCTGATCCCGTCACTGGCGTAACTCCCGACAAGGAGGGTGAGTCGCTCGACTGTATCGCCGCACCTGCTGCTGCTGCTGCTGCTGCTGCTGCTGCTGCTGCTGCTGCTGCTGCTGCTGCTGCTGCTGCTACTGCCGCCGCTTCTGCTGTCTCTCTCTGCCTCTCTGCCTCTCTTGGATCTGTGCTCATGAAGAAGGGCAGCAGTAGGCAAGGTCGCCTTTAGCAAAGGGATGATAGTCAACCAGTGAAAAAAGTAACCCTCGAAAAAAATGATTAAGATCCGAACGTACAACTCAGTTCAAACTCTAGACGAAAGCAAACATGTTTCGGCTTTGCACGGGGATCATACCCGCTAGGCCTTCATCAGTGTAAGAGTTCAAAGTGAAAGAGCGAACAAGCAAAGGGTCTTAAAGAACACCCAAGCCTCGAGATCTACACAGGGAAATCCTACCCCGGGCGCGTAACTAGATAAGAAATGCGCCAACTAGACACAAAAGAAAATTCCTAGGTGTCCAGTCACTCTTCGGGTTTGTCTTCGGCAGTCTTGGAATTGGGTGGTGGTAACCTCGCGCGAACCAGGCACTGTTGCACGTTACGTGCACACTTCCAAGCAACAAGAATTCGATCAATATAAAAATTGCGGGTAGAGAGACGACTTTTGAGACGCCTCAAAAGTACCCCTAATTTGAGACGGGCAGTCACAGGTGTGAAAACCGTCTTCAAAACTAGGGGCCCGCGTGATGAAGTTGAATCCTGTTGCTTGAGTAAGTGTCGCGCCGAGGTCTGCTCGAGAAGATCACTGCGTTGTAGAAAGACGACGCTCCCGAAGATGGGGCGAAGGAAATCCGGAGGGTAACCACGTGCACGAAGCCTGCGGAAGAAATCATGCTTCGTTGCGAGGAAGGCCGAGGCTGATGACGAGCGGAGTAGCTACCGCTTCAATTCGGCCTGGATGAACCCAACCTTGCAGTGACGTGGGTGGTATGATGAGAATGGGAGGTAGAGATACCGATTCATAGGTTTCTGGAAGGTCCGGAAATCCAACGTACCGCAGGCAGCGAACCGGTCCCCCTTGTAGAGGACCATGTCGAGGAAATCCACTGACTGCTCCGAGACATGCCACGTAAGCTTGATATTCGGGTCGAGGCTGTTGAACGTGTTGAAGTACCGTTCCAGCTCATCTCTGGTTCCAGGCCAGACAATGAACCCATCGTCGATGTATCTGACGTGTCGAAGCGGCTGCGTCCCGGTCCACCTCTGCTTCAGCACCTCGTCCAGTCGGCTCATGAAAAGTACCGCAAAGCAGACCGCCACGGCAGTTCCCATGGCGGTCCCTTGAATCTGGCGGTAGATGTTGCCATTGAACTCCACGTAGGAATTCAACATGACCCACTCCAGCAGGGCCATGACCGGGAAGGCCTGACACGAGTTCTCCCTCTGCAGAAAGTCGCTGACCGTATCAAGACCGCGCCGAAGTGGAATACTGGGGTACAGCGCGGTGACATCATACGTCGCCAGAAGCACATTTCGGGGAAGAGTAGTGCGTTCCAGCTCAAGTAGCAGCGAGAGGGAGTCGCGAAGGTAGGAAGGTTGTTTAAGAACCAGCGGCCGCAGTTCAGCATCCAACCAAGTGCTGACGTTAGTAGTGACCCACGAATGCGAAGCAGCGATCGGACGCCCCGCCAGGGTTTTTTTATGCAGCTTCGGTAGGATGTAAAATGCCGCTGGTTTCCAGCCCCCGCTAGGTTGATGTAAGAAATACCTCCATAGACTATCTGGAAGAGCAGGGCCCCATGCCACCTGAAGTGTGCGCAGTTGCTGGAAGACAGAATCTGTGGGATTGGAGAAGACTGGTTCGTAGGTGCTCCGGTCGTCGAGATGATCCAGACACAGCCTGACGTAGTGCTCCCTGTCTAACACCGTCACCCCCAAGTTCTTATCCGCCGGTTTAATCACCACGCTGCGGTCGGCTGCAATGGAACGCAGAGCCTGGGCGACGCCGAATGAGATGTTCCGAACACGCCTCGGTCTGTTAGCTTTCAACAGGACAGAAAGGTCAGAAACCGTTTCTTTGAAAACCTGCTCTGGAATCGGATTCACATCAGGGACCCAACCGGGATTCCGTACACGAAAACGCGAACCCGCCGCTGAACCACCTGACTCGTTGAAGAAAAAGTGAAGGGAAACCTGTCGGAGTAGCTGATCGAGTTCCACTCCGGAGGAAAGGGATCTGGCGGGCGTTGGTATGAACTTCAGACCCAACCCAAGCGCCGTCTTCTCGTCAGGAGACAAGATTCTGGTGCTCAGGTTGTGTACTCCCTGGTTCAGTATGCGCGACGTCGCCTGCCGATACGTCATGCGACCGAACCAGCGGAGAGCCAAATCATGGCTTGTTACTTGTTGCGCGGCCCTTTTCCGGGGCCGCCTCCGCCGTTTTTTGGACCCTTGGCGCTGGATTTGTCGTTGTTGTTGGCGCCTTTCCCCTGCTGCCCGTCGTCACCGTTGGAGTTCTGCGTTTTCGGCTTCTTAGCTCCGCGCTTCCTTCTCGGCTTCGAAGGCGCATCGTTCTTCTCCTTCTTAGCCTTGGAGTCCGCGTTGGAGGCTGTCGTAGGTTCCTGTTCACCCAGAGAGAGCTCCTTCTTGAACTTCTTCGATAGCTTGGCTTCAACACTCGCTGTGATCTCCCTGCGAAGCTGATCCGCCATCTTCTTAGTGTGGTTCTTCAGGATCTCCTCCATCGACAGCTCTGTATCCATCTCCTTCAGTTCCTCCGCGGCAGCGGCTTTCTTCAAGTCCTCAGCGGCCTGCTTTCGCTGTCGATCCAGTTCTCGGATGACGATCTCATCCTTAGCAGCAGCAATCTCAGAGTTAACCTTTTCGATGCAGCGTCACTTCAAGCGACGAAATCTCTCCTTGGCGGCGTCAGACACCACCAGCTCTGGGTCGGCGGAAAGGCTTTGTATGTACTCCTCGAGCTTTGTTGCCAAAACCGTGACATGTGAGTTGCTCGCTGCCAGAATTTCCTCGACCTCCGCTTCTTTAGACGAAATGAAATCCGCCTGGAGACGTTTCTGGTTCTCCAGATGCGTTGCTGCGACGAGCCCTGCAGATTTCTCCTTCATGGTGGCGTACTTTGTCTGGAACTCCACCGCCTTCGTGCGGATACTGTGAAGTATCTCGCCCTTGTCGTTGAGCTCCTTCATCTTTTTCAGTTTCGCCTTCGCCTTCAGATATGACTTGTGGTCGTCCCGAAAGCCCTTAACTGCAGACAGCGACCATCCCTTGAACGGCTCAGGGATTGGAGTAACGTCAGCAGTAGCTTCCGTCGCGAACGCGCACGAACGACCCGACGAGCCAGCAGCGGGAAGAATTTATGGTTGCTTCTCAATGAAACGATCATCGCGGACCAGTGGCAAGGGAGGGAACGTAGAACCCGCAACGCGATACTGCTTCTCAGCAGAAAAACCCGGGCGGCCAGACGAACCCCCTCCGCGAGATGAATTCTTAGAGTGACTTCCCTTCATACCGGCCTCTTCTTCCGAAAGAAACTTTTCAAAGTCCCACGGATCTGTGCTCATGAAGAAGGGCAGCAGTAGGCAAGGTCGCCTTTAGCAAAGGGATGATAGTCAACCAGTGAAAAAAGTAACCCTCGAAAAAATTGATTAAGATCCCAACGTACAACTCAGTTCAAACTCTAGACGAAAGCAAACATGTTTCGGCTTTGCACGGGGATCATACCCGCTAGGCCTTCATCAGTGCAAGAGTTCAAAGTGAAAGAGCGAACAAGCAAGGGGTCTTAAAGAACACCCAAGCCTCGAGATCTACACAGGGAAATCCTACCCCGGGCGCGTAACTAGATAAGAAATGCGCCAACTAGACACAAAAGAAAATTCCTAGGTGTCCAGTCACTCTTCGGGTTTGTCTTCGGCAGTCTTGGAATTGGGTGGTGGTAACCTCGCGCGAACCAGGCACTGTTGCACGTTACGTGCACACTTCCAAGCAACAAGAATTCGATCAATATAAAAATTGCGGGTAGAGAGACGACTTTTGAGGCGCCTCAAAAGTCTGCTGCTGCTGCTGCTGCTGCTGCTGCTGCTGCTGCTGCTGCTGCTACTGCCGCCGCTTCTGCTGTCTCTCTCTGCCTCTCTGCCTCTCTTGCCTCTCCCGTGCCTCTCTCTCCCGTGTCTCATCTTCCGCCAACTGTCCCTCGTCTCCTCCACCCCTCGCGCCCCTCCGCCAGTGGCGGCGATGAGGGCGGTTCGCGACGCCTTGGCCTCGCCCATGCTGCAGGAGTGGCTGCCCAACTGGGGCAACGCGGGGGACATCTGCGGGCCCCTGGGGTGGGCGCCGCAGGTTACCTGTGACCAGACTCCCTCGGGCAACTACACCATCGTCAGCATGTAAGCCCCTCTTATCGCATCGCTCGCGCCTCTTGAGACGTCTCAAAAGGCGCCGCAGGTCACCTGCGACCAGACGCCCTCGGGCAACTACACCATCGTCAGCATGTAAGCCCCTCTTATCTCATCGCTCGCGCCTCTTGAGACGTCTCAAAAGGCGCCGCAGGTCACCTGCGACCAGACGCCCTCGGGCAACTACACCATCGTCAGCATGTCACTCCCGCCCCGCAAATGCCCCTCTTCTCTCACGCGCCTCAAATGTGCTTGTGCTTTTTCTTTTTTTTTTTTTCTGTTTTCCGTTCCGTTTGTGTACGCTGTGATCTGCATGCGAGCGTCGTCTCTTTTCCACCTGTCTGCAGCATTCCGTTACCGCGTTCTGCTGCTGCTGCTGCTGCTGCTATGCCCCATCCCTCGCGCCGTGTGCTCCGCTGCTCCTTCTGTCGCGTGCACTCATCTCCTCTCCTCCCCTCGCCCCTTCCCCCCGTCCATCTCTCCCCTCTCCCCCGCGCAGCAACCTATCGGGCGGCATGATAGGCACGCTCAGTCCGCTTATCGCCGACCTCGACAACCTCCACGAGCTGTACGCCCTTCATCCCTCCCCTCCCCCCTCGTCTTCCCGCTCCCCCTTCCCCCCTCCTCCCCTTCGCTTGCTTCCTCGCCTCGCCTTCCGCCATGCCATGCCATGCCATGCCATGCCGTGCCATGCCATGCCATGCCATGCCGTGCCATGCCGTGCCATGCATCTCCCTAGTGACGTCCCATTTCTGCATACTGCCTTCTCCTCCTCCGCGCCTCTCCATCCCCTCCCCTCCCCCCTGTCCCCGCGCCTCCCCCCTACAGGAAGCTGTACAGCGTGGGGCTGAAGAGCGAAGGCCTCGTGGACACGCTCCTGTACCTCACACAGCTCGACACCCTGTCAGTAGCCCCTGCCCCCTGCTCCATGCTCCCCGCCCCCTGCACCCTGCTCCTTGCCTTGCACACCATCCGCAGTATTTGGCCCAATGTATCTCCCTTTCTCATACCTACTCTCCGTCTCACCGCGTTTCTCTTTCTCACCGCTCCTCTTCTCATCCGTGTCATCCGTGCTGCCACACCTCCGCCCCCCAACTGCACTGCACCATGCACTGCACCATGCACTGCACCGCCCACCACGCCCGTCCCCTCCTCTCCTCTCACTCTATTTCACCCGCATCTCCCTCATTTCCTCCCCCGTTACCTCCCCCGCTACTCCCCTCCCCCTCCCCCTCTGCCCCTCGCTGCAGCAAGATCATCAACATGCCGGTGGGCATCACCACGGCAGAGCTCGACCTCTCCTCTCCCCATCTCACCCGCGTGTCCCCTCTCCCCCTCTCCCTCTGCCCCTCACTGCAGCGAGATCATCAACATGCCGGTGGGCATCACCACGGCAGAGCTCGACCTCTCCAAGTTGTCCAACCTCCAACACCTGTGAGCTGCATCCGTTGCTGGGAGTGCCACACACTGCGCTGCTGGGAGTGGTTTCCGGGAGTTGCTGCTGGGGCGTGCTGGCATCTCGGCCCTCTCCCTCCTTGCTATCCGTTCCACCTGTCGCTCACGTTCCTCCCGCTCTGCGCATTCTCCTCCATCCCTTTATTGTTCCCTAACCGCCTCTCCCCATCTCCCCTTCTATCTCTCCCTCCTCATCTCCCCTCCCCCCTCTACTCCCCCCCTGCCACAGCACGCTGCGCAATGTGATGTTGAGGGGCCCTATCTCCAAGCTCAACCTCCCTTCGCTCACCAACCTGCAATCTCTGTCAGTGCCGCTTCCCCTGATCCCTCTCCACGTCAATTCCGCACCGCCCGTCCCAACCCGGTCGTCGCTCTCTTTAATCCACGCGAATCTCCTATTCTCTTCAGCCGTCGCCCTCCCCCCTCCCCACCACGTGTCTCTCCTCTGTTCCCCGCCCCTCCCCCACTCCATGTGTGAGCGCGCAGGGACTTGGCGCAGAACCAGCTCACGGGCGAGCTGCCCAAGGGGCTCTCCAACATCGCCCACATGTCCGTGCCGCCCACACACTGCACACTGCACTCTGCACACCTCATCTGCTGCTGCTGCTGCTGCTGCTGCTGCTGCTGCTGCTGCTGCTGCTGCTGCTGCTGCTGCTGCTGCTGCTGCTGCTGCTGCTGCTGCTGCTGCTGCTGCTGCTGCTGATGCTGATGCTGATGACTTTCATCTCGCCTTTCCCTGACCTTCTCCCTGCCGCCTCTCTTCCCCCCGACTCTCTCTCCCCCGGCCCGTTCCCCCTGCCCCTCGCCTCCCTGTGTGGCTGCAGTGACATCTCCTCGAACAGCCTCTCAGGAGTGCTGCCCACCGACCTCATCTCCTCGCCCAACGTCGAGCACATGTGAGCTGCCCCACTCTACTGCCCCTCTGCCTCCCCTCTACCGCCCCTCTGCTTCGCCTCTGCCCCGCCTCTGCTACTCCTTTGTATCCTATCCCCTTCCTCTCCCCTCCTTGTCTCACATCTCATCTCACCTTCTGGTTGCTCACTACGGCGCTACCCCCTGCCTGCTCCCCCCTGTCTGCTCGCCCCCACAGGGTGCTCTACAACAATCGTTTGGAGGGCGCCCTGCCGGACGTCTTCGTCCTCCACTCGCTGTCTCACATCTCACCTTCTGTTCCTTCGCTGCCCCGTTCCCCCTGCCCGTCCGCCCCTGTGCTCGGCCCCACAGGGTGCTCTACAACAACCGGCTGGAGGGCGCCCTGCCGGACGTCTTTGCCGCCGCCCAGAAGCTTCAGCAGCTGTGCGTGGCGTCGCCCCCTCGCCCCTCTCGCTCCTCTCACCCCTGCCTCGCCGCGGGCGGGCCTCATGCCTCGCGCCATGCTCGCACAGCTTCATGCCATGCCATGCCATGCCATGCCATGCCATGGCTTCACCACCCGTGCAGCACCTTGTGACGACGCTTCCTTTCAACCGTCGCTTCTTCATCCATGCCTCCGGAGCTTGCCTCATGCACTCATCGCATCTTCTCCTGCCCACTCTATTCCACCATCCCTCCACCCCCTCCGCAGTGACCTCTCGCAGAACAAGCTTGTGGGCTCCCTCCCTCCTTCACTCGCCGAGCTGCCCAGTCTTTATTACATGTAAGCGCCCCACCCTGTCTCGCCCCTCCACGCCACATGCCTCCAGTTCCTCTGCCTGCTTTGCTTTCCCCCATGCCTGCCTCTCCCGTGCCTACTTGCAACCGTCCCTCCGCTTAACGCCCCACGCTGTGTCCACTCCTTCCTGTGCCGGCCCTCCCGCCCTCACCCCCTCCCATGTGTGTGCAGCGACCTGAGCACCAACTCCTTCCGTGGCAAGCTGCCGCGCTTCTTTGCTGCCTGCACCATCACCAACACCAGCGCCTTCCTGTATGCCCCCACCCTCCCACTGCCCATCTGTACGCCCCCACCCTCACACTGCCAACCTGTACGCCCCCACCCTAACACTGCCAACCTGTACGCCCCCACCCTCACACTGCCAACCTGTACGCCCCCACCCTCACACTGCCCACCTGTACGCCCCCACCCTCACACTGCCAACCTGTACGCCCCCACCCTCACACTGCCAACCTGTACGCCCCCACCCTCACACTGCCCACCTGTACGCCCCCACCCTCACACTGCCCACCTGTACGCCCCCACCCTCACACTGCCAACCTGTACGCCCCCACCCTCACACTGCCCACCTGTACGCCCCCACCCTCACACTGCCAACCTGTACGCCCCCACCCTCACACTGCCAACCTGTACGCCCCCACCCTCACACTGCCCACCTGTACGCCCCCACCCTCACACTGCCCACCTGTACGCCCCCACCCTCACACTGCCAACCTGTACGCCCCCACCCTCACACTGCCCACCTGTACGCCCCCACCCTCACACTGCCCACCTGTACGCCCCCACCCTCACACTGCCCACCTGCTTGCTTTGCTTTGGGCAGCAGGCTGCCGCTGCTCTGCATCTCCCTCTTCCACCTGCCTCTTTCTCAGTTCCGGCCTGACTGCCTGCCCGCCTGCATGTCTGTTTGACTCTCTGTCGCTCTGTCTGCCTGTGTGTGTGCGCCTGCAGCAACCTCACGAGCAACAAGCTCACGGGCGGCATTCCCAACAGCCTGGGGCTCTACGCCCACCGCAACACCGTGCTCCTCACTGTGTACGTCCCCCATCCCGCCCCCCTCACACCTCCATGCGTGCCCCGCCAATCCCACCCTGCTTGTGCCACTCCATTCCACGTCATTCCCCCAGCCTTTACCAATGCAGCCACGTGTGACCCCTCCCCTCCCCTGCTCTGCGCTGCTCTGCCCTACTCTGCTGCATGCGTGCAGCGATGTGTCACCAGCTCCAGGGAGCTGTGCCGGCGAGCCTCCTGGCAGCAGACACGCTGTTGTACGACCACAACGAGGGCCTCTGTGACGGCCCGCACCCCCTGACTCCCCCCTTCTCCTCTCCTTTCCCCCTGTGCGTGCAGCGATGTGTCATACAACCAGCTGCAGGGAGCGGTGCCCGCCAGTCTGCTGGCAGCAGACACGCTGTTGTACGACCACAACGAGGGCCTCTGTGACGCGCCCTACCTCCCCATGTGCGGCCCTGACGGCAAGCCCTCTGATCCTCTTACCGCGCTCATTAAGAATGGCACTTCTTCTGACGACGGGTCCACGCCTTTTGCTGACATCACCCCCACCACACCCACGCCTGCCCAGCCCACCCAGCCCACCACTCCCACCACTCCCACCTCTACGCCTGCTGCCGCTGACCCTGCTGCCACTGAGCCTGCTGTTGCGGCTAAGCCCGCTGCCACCTCTGAGCCGGCTGCCGCGCCCTCCCAGCTCACCTGCAACTGCGAGCAGCTGTCCGCGGGTGTCATTTTCGGCATTGCCTTTGGCGCTGCGGTGCTTGCGGCTGTGCTGGTGGCGGCAGTGGTGCTGACGTGGCTGCACTACGGCAATGCGCGCGCGGCGGCGCGTGTGGAGGGCGCTGGGTTCCTGTTTGGCAATGGGGAGAAGGTGAACGGTGCTGTCAAGGACGTGGAGAAGTATGCCAACTAGCTGGCAACTGGCAGCAGCAGCAAGGATGAGTCCTTGAATCGCCAAAAGTTTCCTTCGGCTGATTGAAGGTGGCATATTTGACATTTCTTCGGATGTGTGGCAGTGTCTTCTTTGCTGCGGTTGGTTGTGTGGAAGAGAGCTAGGTATCATGTATGCTTGTATGTCTCTAATTGCTTGTAATTGTCATGGAATAATATAACCGCAAGTGCCACAATTTCGTGTTCCTCTATCGAGTCGAAGCTGTTGTCGAGGTTCACCGACATTCGTTCCGGGTGCAACTGACGAATCACCATCATGCACAGCGCAGTGTATTCATCTCGGTGCTCCCGTCCCATGGTTCATTTCATCCAGTCCAGTCATCGATGGTCCATGACTTTCTTGCCTTCCAACCGAGCTCTCCAAGTCACATTCCCCAAGTGCCAGCATGCCACTCCTCTCAAGGCTTCATCTTGGGAGGTAGTAACCTCCATTCACCTTGCTTGGGATCAGAGATATTCTTGCGACGAGCTATGGAATAGAATCAGCCAGTGGCCCCGGTAGGACGAACTGCATGAAGCCTTACATCGTTGCACGAACGCTTGAGTTAGGATTGTTTCACGACGAAGCGTGGGAGTTGTCGCATCAAGCCATGGGTTGTCGCACGATGCCTAGGCACAATGGGGTGAAGCCTTGGGATTGTCGCACGAAGGCTAGGGATTGTCGCACACCCAGATTCGACCGATGTCATCGGCGCCGTCGTGTTCCTTCCTCGCTCCTTCCTCGCTCGCACGCGCGTCTGATGGCCGCTCCAGTGCCTGCTTATAGCGCGTATCAGGCAACCGAGGGTCGTTATTGTCAGCTCTGCGCCGGAACGTTCTCGATTTCGTTCAATTCCGCTCATTAGAAACCCATTATTTCGGCCAGATCTCACCAGACTGCACCGAGTTCCACCGCTCTCTCCTGCTCACTCGGGTGCATAGCTTTAGTCCACAATCCGCCCCCCATGGGGAGCTTCAACGAGCGGGACCAGCCTCGCGCGCCCGCCGTACCCTCCGCGCCGTCCCCCATGCTGCTCCCCTCCGCGCCCTCCCCCACTTCCGTCAACGCGATTGGCCGATCGCGCTCCCTCACAAACTCCTCTTCCGCCTCCCTCGTCGTTGCCTCTGTTCTCTCCGCAACCCGCTCCCCCCTCCCCGCTTTCCCGCGCCAATCCTCCACTTCCTCCACGTCCCCCTGCCGCGCCTTGCGACCGTCGCCCCCCGCCGCGCGCGGAAGCGGCGGAGGGCGGGGGGAAGACCCTTCTGCGGACGTCTCCCGCGAGTTCCCTAACGGCGACTCGTACCGCGGGCAGTGGGGGGCGGCGTGGGACGTGCCGCACGGCGCGGGGTGCTACGTGTGGGCGGACGGGAGCGTGTACGAGGGGGAGTGGGCGCGCGGGGAGAAGCACGGGCAGGGGCTGTTCGTGTGGCCGTCGGGCGCGCGCTACAAGGGGGAGTGGGCGCGCGGGCAGATGCAGGGCGTGGGGAGCTACTGGGGCGCGGACGGGTCGTTTTACACGGGGAACTGGGCTGGGGGCGTGAAGCACGGGCTAGGGCGCAAGCTCTACCCGAATGGGGACCGTTACGAAGGCTTCTGGTCGTTCGGCGCGGCGCACGGGCCCGGGCGGTACGTGTGGGCGAACGGGAACGAGTATTTCGGCGAGTGGGAGGGCGGCACGATGAGCGGGTGCGGCACTTTCACGTGGGCGAGCGGGGAGCGGTACGAGGGCGAGTGGGAGGGGGGAGTGGAGCACGGCGTGGGCGTGTTCGCGTGGCGCGATGGTAGCCGTTATGAAGGTACGTGGAGCCGCGGGCTTAAGGACGGCAAGGGCGTGTTCTACCCCGCTGGGTGCGCGCGCGACGCAGGGGACGCTGGGGAGAGGGGGGAAAGGGAGGCGGGGACGGGGGAGGAGAGGGATGGGGATGAGGGGGAGGATGAAGAGGGGGAGGAGGCGAAGGAGGAGGACGGGGAGGAGGAGGGTGGTGTTGATGGGGACGGGGAGGGTGTGGAGGAGGAGGATGAGGAGGAGGGATGGGGATTGGAAGGCGAGGAGAAGGGGGAGGAGATGGGGGGAGAGGCTGGTCAAGGGGGTGCAGCGGGGAGCAGTGCTGCTGCTGCTGCTGCTGCTGCCGTTGCCGGTATGAACGGCTGCAGTCCTGATGACGTTGATGGTGCTCTGGCGGCCGTTGCAGCACCAACGGCAGCGGCAGCGGCGTCAGGGGCGAGTGTGGCTGGTGCGAGTGCGGGTGAAAGGGCTGCTGCGGGGCAGGTAGCACCTGGTGCCATGCTGCTGTCTAAGCAGGCTCCGGACCTGAGCTCAGGCTCATTCAATGCTGGCTCGGCGAGCTCAGGCTCGGGGAGGCTGGCTCGAAGGGTTGGTGCAGCAGCAGCAACAGGGGGAGGGGGAGGTACAGGGGGGTTGAAGGGCGCGCAGAGGATGTTACAGAAGCGGCTTACAGCGGGGACGAGGGCGCTGGAGGTGGCACTGGGGCCCACGGGGAGTGTGTACCTGGCTGCTGACGCTGTCCCTGCCATGCCCTTCCCTGACTCCTCCTCGCTCTCCCGTGGGGACGGCAGGCCAAGTGGGCGAGAGGGGGAAGGTGGTGTGGAGAAAGGGGCAGAGAGGAGGGAGGCGGATGTGGAGGGAAGGGAGGGAGTGAGGGAGGAGAGGGAGGGGAGCGAGGAGAGGGTAGTGATTGCGATTGGAAGGAGGTCAAGAGGGGAAGGCAGGGGCGAGAGGATTGCAGGAGAAGGAAGCAAGGGCAGAGGGCAGGCGAGCACTGGCGGGACAGTGAGTGACGCGGACATGTGGCGGCCTCTGATTGGCAGCGGTGCGGAGAGCAGCCAATGGGAAGGAAACAGCGGTGAAGGGGCGGTGGCGGATGGGAGGGAGGCAGGGGGGAGTGGAGCAGGATGGAAGGAGCTGGAGAATGGGGTGATTGCCGGAGCGAGAGGGGCGAGAGGAACGAGGGAGAAGGTGAACGGAGAGCGATGGGAGAGCGGGGCAGATGGGGGACGTGACAGTGTTGTGATGCATGCGCATGTCACCTCCCCTCCCCACTCTCTCAAGACAGGCGGGCGACCTCCACCCGTCCCCCCCCGCTCGCCCCTACCACCTGGCCGCCCCCCCCCCCCCCCTTCCCCGCTCGCCCCTGGCAGCTGGGAAGGGTCTGTGCCACGCGCGCCAGCCCAGTGATGACTTCTTTATTGGAATGTCCTCGTCCAATGGCAGCAGCACACGTGGCAGCCCTGGCAGCAGGAAGGGGGGGCGGAAGTGCTTGTCGGGGCCGCTGCAGGGGCGGGCAGGGCGGGCCAGGGAAACTGGGGAGGTGGGGGAGAAGGGGGAGATGGGCGAGATGCAAGGAGGGGAGGAAGTGGGGATACATGGGAGGAGGGGGCAATGGCACAGAGGCAGACTAGGGGAAATAGGAGGCACTCAGGTGGGGGAGGAAGAGGAGGAAGAGAAGGGTGTTGGGAGAAGCGCTGCTGTCTCTCGGCCAATGACAGCAAGCCACGTGTCGGAGGTGGACATGGAGGGGCGGCAGGACAACTGGAAGGTGTGGAGGGAGGAGGCCCCTGTGCGCTGGCACCACCACCTGGGCCTCCGCGCCCCCCTTGCTGCTCCCTCCCCCTCCCCCGCTGCTCCCAGTTCCACCCCTGGCCCTACTTCTTCCAGCGTGGGACCTGCTGCGTCCAACTCAGCAGGTGCTGCTGCCAGCTCAGCAGCTGTAGCTGCCAGCTCATCAGCGAGTGGGGCGTCAGCAGCGGCGACGGGGACAGGTGGAGGGGAGGGGGTAAGGTCACCGCGGGCCATCACACGTGCTCTGACCATGGGGCCTGTGCCAGGGCGAGGGCAGCAGTACGCTGAGGGGGAGGGGCACAGTGGAGGGGATCTTGGGGCGGAGGAGGAGATGAGGGAGGAGGATGGAGAGCAGGAGGGGCCAAGTGGGGAACAGTCTAGAGGGCCAGCGTCACGAGGGGCAGCGGTGATGCTACCGAATGGGAGAGGCGAGGGAGGGGTGTGTGAGGTGCATGGCGGCGGTTCAGAGCAGATGGTTGCCCCCTCGCAGTCACCAGGCTCAGACATGCAGCAGCACGCGCGAGGGAGAGCGGACGGGGGCGCGCAAGGAGGACCAGGGGGAGGGAGAGGGACAGGGCATGGGGAAGGGGGAGGGCAAGGGCGCGGGCGCGCAGAGGGGGGAAGGCGGGGGCGGGGGCGGGGGTACAGCATGGGGCAGGTGGCGGGGGTGGAGGCGGTGGAGGATGCAGTGATGGTGAGGGAGTACGTTCATGGCGTGCTGGTGGCGCAACAGCCCCTCTCCTCCCACTCCCATCCCCCGGTAAGCCTGCTCTGCTTCTTTCTGTTTGTGTGCTGCCATGCCTGTGCCTGTTGCCCATGCATGTGCGGTGGAGGTGTGGTGGGCGAGGAAGCATGCAAGGAGCATGGAAACACAAACCAACCACGAGTCATTTGCACCTGCATGCATCGCTGCTAGCCCATGCTCCCACCTTCACCTTCCCCTTCCCCCCCCTGCCCTTCCCGTGCCACTCTTCTATCCGCCCTTCCCATGCTGCTCTGCTCTCCCCCCTCCCTGCGTGACCTGTGTGTGTGTGTGGGTGGCAGCGGTGGCACGTGCCGAGGGGCAGGGAGGGCAAGAAGGCGGGCGAGCTGATCTACAAGGGCCACCGCAGCTACCTGCTCATGCGCACCCTGCAGCTCGGCCTCCGGTGTGTCTTGTGCTGCTGCCCTGCTGGGCTCATGGGGTCATGGGGGTCATGGGGGTGATGGTGTGATGGGGGTGATGCGATGTGATGGGGGTGATGGGGGTGATGCGATGTGATGGGGGTGATGGGGGTGATGGGGGTGATGGGGGTGATGCGATGTGATGGGGGTGATGGGGGTGATGGGGGTGATGCGATGTGATGGGGGTGATGGGGATGATGGGGGTGATGGGGGTGATGGGGGTGATGCGATGTGATGGGGGTGATGGGGGTGATGGGGGTGATGCGATGTGATGGGGGTGATGCGATGTGATGGGGGTGATGGGGGTGATGCGATGTGATGGGGATGATGGGGGTGATGGGGATGATGCGGGTTTTGCGGGTGATGGGGGTGATGGGGGTGATGGGTTGATGGGATGATGGGGTAATGGGGTGCTGCCAATGATGTGGTGCTCGTGTGCTTGCTGGGGTGGTGAGGTGGGTTGGTTGAACAGAGCTCCTGCTTAGTGCATACCACCTTCCCTCTCCTCTCCACCCCATGACTCACATTCTCATCCCACCTCCCATTCACACTCCCCTCGTCCCCCCCAACAGGTACAGTGTGGGGAGGATCACACCGGACGCGCAGAGGGACGTGGGCCCAGGCGACTTTTCCCACTGGCCGGCTGTGCGCTTCCCCCCGGCCGGCTCATCCACCACGCCGCCACACTCCATGCACGCCTTCAAGTGGCGCGACTACTGCCCCGCCGCCTTCAGGTCCACTCATCGCTTTGCTCTCTCCTAGAGTCCCCCCTTCTTCCACCTTCCCGTTCGCACTTGGTCTTTCCTCCCGTCTCACCATATCTTCCCTCCTACACTCCCGTATCCGTCAGGGCCCTACGAGCCATGTTTGGCATAGACCCGGGGGACTACATGGTGTCGCTGTGCGGGGATGACGCGTTGAGGGAGCTGAGCAGCCCGGGCAAGTCGGGCAGCGTCTTCTTCCTCTCGCATGACGACCGCTTCCTCATCAAAACCATGCGCAGCGCCGAGCTGCAGGTGGGTGGGCAGTTGGGCTGAGCTGCAGGTGGGTGGGCTGACCTGCAGGTGGGTGGGCTGACCTGCAGGTGGGTGGGCTGACGGGAGAGGGGATTGGGATGAGAGATGGGATGTGATGGGTCAGCAGCATGCTCCCATGCACCCAAGAACTTGACCTGCTCACGTCTGTGCCCACCTGCAGGTCAGCCCACCCACCTGCAGGTCAGCCCACCCACCTGCAGGCCAGCCCACCCACCTGCAGGTCAGCCCACCCACCTGCAGGTCCTACATGCCATCAAGATCTACCACACCACCTCCTCCCAAACCGCCTCCTATGTCATCCCTCACCCCTGTCCCATCTCCTTCCACCCCATTCTCTCCCCGCTCCTTCAGGTGCTGCTGCGCATGCTACCCGCCTACTACCGCCACGTGAAGCACAATCCACACACACTCCTCACCAAGTTCTTCGGCCTCCACGCCATCAAGATCTACCACACCGCCTCCTCCCACACCGCGTCCCGCCTCGCCGCCAAGGCGGGCGGGCGAGAGTCGGTCATCCGATTCGTGGTGATGGCGAACCTGCTGGTGTCGCCGCTGCGCGTGCACCGGCGATTTGACCTCAAGGGGTCCTCGCAGGGGCGCAGCACGGGCAAGGTGGCAGTGGATGACACCACTACACTTAAGGATCTGGACCTCGACCTCGCCTTCCTGCTGCACCCGCCCTGGCGCCCGTTGCTGCTGCAGTAAGTGGGAATGACTGGTACCTTTCTTTGCTCCCTGTGTGGCGCCCAATGCTGCTGGGCGCGTGCACCGGCGGTTTGAACTTACGGGGTCGTCACAGCACGGGCAAGGTGGCGGTGGATGACACCACCACGCTCAAAGACCTCGACCTTGACCTCGCCTTCCTCCTGCACCCACCCTGGCGCTCCCTGCTGCTGCAGTCAGTGTTGTGGTTGTTGTAGTTCGTCTTGAGGTGCCTCAAAAGTCGTCGCAGGGGCACAGCACGGGCAAGGTGGCGGTGGATGACACCACCACACTCAAAGACCTCGATCTTGACCTTGCGTTCCTGCTTCACCCGCCCTGGCGTCCCCTGCTGCTGCAGTAAGTGCCAATGTGTGTGGCAACCGCTGCTGCTGCTGCAGTGAGTGTGGGTCGCTGTGGTTCGTGTCTTTGTTCCCTGCTGCCCCGCGCCCCTCTCATTCCCTCTACGTCGTGCCCACCTCTGCCCGTACCCCACTTACCCTCCTCCCCCTGTCTCTCCGTTCTTGCTGCCCTGCCACGCCCTCCTCACTCCTACCCCCCAATGCAGGGAGATAGCAACGGATTGTGCCTTCCTAGAGGGGCAGCACGTCATGGATTACAGCCTGCTGTTGGGGGTGCACTTCAAGGCCCCTCTAACACTCTCCAACCTCTTCCCAACTTCTCCTCACTACTCCCTCCCCCACCCCAAAACAGGCAGATAGCGGCGGACTGTGCGTTCCTGGAGGGGCAGCGTACAATGGACCACAACTTGCTGCTGAGAGTGCACTTCAAAGCCCCTCCAACACTCCCTCACATCTCAATCATTCCTGCCTCTCCCCCCCCCTCAATGCTATGTGGCAAAAGACTCGTCTAGCGTCTAGGACGCTTGCGTCTAGAAGCAACGTCCTAGACGCAGGACGCGAGTGCGAGTGCGAGACAGCGCGAGTGCGCGACAGCGCGAGTGCGCGACAGCGCGAGTGCGCGACAGCGCGAGTGCGCGACAGCGCGAGTGCGCGACAGCGCGAGTGCGCGACAGCGCGAGTGCGCGACAGCGCGAGTGCGCGACAGCGCGAGTGCGCGACAGCGCGAGTGCGCGGCAGCGCGAGTGCGCGGCAGCGCGAGTGCGCGGCAGCGCGAGTGCGCGGCAGCGCGAGTGCGCGGCAGCGCGAGTGCGCGGCAGCGCGAGTGCGCGGCAGCGCGAGTGCGCGGCAGCGCGAGTGCGCGGCAGCGCGAGTGCGCGGCAGCGCGAGTGCGCGGCAGCGCGAGTGCGCGGCAGCGCGAGTGCGCGGCAGCGCGAGTGCGCGGCAGCGCGAGTGCGCGGCAGCGCGAGTGCGCGGCAGCGCGAGTGCGCGGCAGCGCGAGTGCGCGGCAGCGCGAGTGCGCGGCAGCGCGAGTGCGCGGCAGCGCGAGTGCGCGGCAGCGCGAGTGCGCGGCAGCGCGAGTGCGCGGCAGCGCGAGTGCGCGGCAGCGCGAGTGCGCGACAGCGCGAGTGCGCGACCGCGCGAGTGCGCGACATCGCGAGTGCGCGACGGCGCGAGTGCGCAACGGCGCGAGTGCGCGAGTGCACGGCAGCGCAAGTGCGCGGGTGCGCGAGTGCGCGGGTGCGTGAGTGCGCAGGTGCGCGAGTGCGCGAGAGCGCGAGTGCGCGAGTGCGCGACATCGCGAGTGCGCGATAGCACGAGTGCGCGACAGCGCGAGTGCGCGAGAGCGCGAGTGCGCGAGAGCGCGAGTGCGCGTCAGCGCGAGTGCACGAGTGCGCGAGTGCGTGACAGCGCGAGTGCGCGAAAGCGCGATTGCGCGACAGTGCGAGTCAGTGCGAGTGCGCGACAGCGCGAGTGCGCGAGTGCGCGACAGCACGAGTGCGCGACTGCGCGAGTGCGCGATAGCGCTAGTGTGCGAGAGCGCGAGTGCGCGAGTGTGCGACAGCGCGAGTGGGCGACTGTGCGAGTGCGCGAGTGCGCGAGAGCGCGACAGCGCGAGTGCGCAATAGCGCGAGTGCGCGACAGCGCGATTTGACAGCGCGAGTGCGCGATAGCGCGAGTGCGTGACTGTGCGAGTGCGCGACAGCGCGAGTGCGCGAGTGTGCGACAGCGCGAGTGCGCGACAGCGCGAGTGCGCGATAGCGCGGAGTGCCCGAGTGCGCGAGTGCCCGAGTGCGCGACAGCGCGAGTGCGCGACAGCGCGAGTGCGCGACAGCGCGAGTGCGCGAGTGCGCGAGTGCGCGACAGCGCGAGTGCGCGAGTGCGCGAGTGCGCGAAAGCGCGAGTGCGCGAGTGCGCGACTGCGCGAGTGCGCGACAGCGCGAGTGCGCGACAGCGCGAGTGCGCGACAGCGCGAGTGCGCGACAGCGCGAGTGCGCGACAGCGCGAGTGCGCGAGTGCACAACAGCGCGAGTGCGCGACGGCGCGAGTGCGCGACAGCGCGACTGCGCGAGTGCGCAAGTGCTCGACAGCGCGAGTGCGCGACAGCGCGAGTGCGCGACAGCGCGAGTGCGCGATAGCGCGAGTGCGCGACTACGCGAGTGCACGAGTGCGCGACGGCGCGAGTGCGCGAGTGCACGACAGCGCGAGAGCGCGAGTGCACGAGAGCGCGAGTGCGCGACAGCGCGAGTGCGCGACAGCGCGACTGCGCGAGTGCGCGACAGCGCGAGTGCGCGAGTGCGCGAGTGCTCGACAACGCGAGTGCGCGAGTGCACGACAGCGCGAGTGCGCGACGGCGCGAGTGCGCGACGGCGCGAGTGCGCGACAGCGCGAGTGCGCGACGGCGCGAGTGCGCGACAGCGCGAGTGCGCGACAGCGCGAGTGCGCGACAGCGCGAGTGCGCGAGTGCGCGACAGCGCGAGTGCGCGAGTGCGCGACGACGCGAGTGCGCGACAGCGCGATTGCGCGACAGCGCGATTGCGCAAGTGCGCGACAGCGCGAGTGCGCGACAGCGCGAGTGCGCGACAGTGCGAGTGCGCGACAGCGCGAGTGCGCGACAGCGCGAGTGCACGAGTGCGCGACAGCGCGACTGCGTGAGTGCGCGAGTGCGCGACAGCGCGAGTGCGCGAGTGCGCGACAGCGCGAGTGCGTGACAGCGCGAGTGCGCGACAGCGCGAGTGCGCGACAGCGCGAGTGCGCGACAGCGCGAGTGCGCGAGTGCGCGACAGCGCGAGTGCGCGAGTGCGCGACGACGCGAGTGCGCGACGGCGCGACGACGCGAGTGCGCGACAGCGCGACAGCGCGAGTGCGCGACAGCGCGAGTGCGCGACAGCGCGAGTGCGCGACAGCGCGAGTGCGCGACAGCGCGAGTGCGCGACAGCGCGAGTGCGCGACAGCGCGAGTGCGCGACAGCGCGACAGCGCGACAGCGCGAGAGCGCGAGTGCGCGACAGCGCGAGTGCGCGACAGCGCGAGTGCGCGACAGCGCGAGTGCGCGACAGCGCGAGTGCGCGAGTGCGCGAGTGCGCGACAGCGCGAGTGCGCGACAGCGCGAGTGCGCGACATCGCGAGTGCGCGACATCGCGAGTGCGCGACATCGCAAGTGCGCGAGAGCGCGAGTGCGCGAGTGCGCGACAGCGCGAGTGCGCGACAACGCGAGTGCGGGACAGCGCGAGTGCGTGACAGCGCGACAGCGCGAGTGCGCGACAGCACGAGTGCGCGACAGCGCGAGTGCGCGACAGCGGGAGTGCGCGAGAGCGCGAGTGCGCGACAGCGCAGCAGCGCAATAGTGCGACAGCCCAATAGCCCAATAGACCAGTAGACCAATAGCCCAATAGCCCAATAGACCAATAGCTTCATAGCTCAGTAGCGCGACAGCGCGACAGCCCAACAGTGCAGCAGCCCAGCAGTGCAGCAGCGCAATAGCGCAGCAGCCCAATAGCCCAATAGACCAATAGCCCAAGAGCCCAATAGACCAATAGCCCAATAGCCCAATAGCGCAATAGCCCAATAGCTTAATAGCCCAACAGCCCTATAGCCCCATAGCCTCATAGCCCCATAGCCTTATATCCCCATAGCCGAATAGCCAAATAGCCTCATATTCCAATAGCCCAATAGCCCAATAGCCCAATAGCCCCATAGCCCAATAGCCCAATAGCCCAAAAGCCCAGTAACCCCGTAGCCCAATAGCCCAGTAGCCCAATAGCCCAATAGCCCCATAGCCCCATAGCCCAATAGCCCCATAGCCCAATATCCCCATAGCCCAATAGCCCCATAGCCCAATAGCCCCATAGCCCCATAGCCCAATAGCCCCATAGCCCCATAGCCCAATAGCCCCATTGCCCCATAGCCCAATAGCCCCATAGCCCCATAGCCCAATAGCCCCATTGCCCCATAGCCCAATAGCCCCATAGCCCCATAGCCCAGCGACAGCGCGAGTGCGCGAGTGCGCGACAGCGCGACTGCGCGAGTGCGCGACAGCGCGACTGCGCGACAGCGCGAGTGCGCGACAGCGCGAGTGCGCGACAGCGCGAGTGCGCGAGTGCGCGAGTGCTCGACAGCGCGAGTGCGCGAGTGCACGACAGCGCGAGTGCGCGACGGCGCGAGTGCGCGACAGCGCGAGTGCGCGACAGCGCGATTGCGCGAGTGCGCAAGTGCGCGACAACGCGAGTGCGCGACAGCGCGAGTGCGCGACAGCGCGAGTGCGCGACAGCGCGAGTGCGCGACAGCGCGAGTGCGCGACAGCGCGAGTGCGCGACAGCGTGAGTGCGCGAGTGCACGACAGCGCGAGTGCGCGACGGCGCGAGTGCGCGACGGCGCGAGTGCGCGACGGCGCGAGTGCGCGACGGCGCGAGTGCGCGAGTGCTCAAGTGCGCGACAGCGCGAGTGCGCGACAGCGCGAGTGCGCGACAGCGCGAGTGCGCGACAGCGCGAGCGCGCGACAGCGCGAGCGCGCGACTGCGCGAGCGCGCGACTGCGCGAGTGCGCGAGTGCACGAGTGCGCGACAGCGCGAGTGCGCGACTGCGCGACAACGCGACTGCGCGACAACGCGACTGCGCGACAGCGCGGCTGCGCGACAGCGCGACTGCGCGACAGCGCGAGTGCGCGACATCGCAAGTGCGCGACATCGCAAGTGCGCGAGAGCGCGAGTGCGCGAGTGCGCGACAGCGCGAGTGCGCGACAGCGCGAGTGCGCGACAGCGCGAGTGCGCGACAGCGCGAGTGCGCGACAGCGCGAGTGCGCGACAGCGCGAGTGCGGGACAGCGCGAGTGCGTGACAGCGCGACAGCGCGAGTGCGCGACGACGCAAGTGCGCGAGTGCGCGACAGCGAGAGCGCGCGAGCGCGCAAGTGCGCGACAGCGCGAGTGCGCGACAGCGCGAGTGCGCGACAGCGCGACTGCGCGACTGCGTGACTGCGCGACAGCGCGAGTGCGCGACATCGCAAGTGCGCGAGAGCGCGAGTGCGCGAGTGCGCGACAGCGCGAGTGCGCGACAGCGCGAGTGCGCGACAGCGCGACTGCGCGACTGCGCGACAGCGCGAGTGCGCGACATCGCAAGTGCGCGAGAGCGCGAGTGCGCGAGTGCGCGACAGCGCGAGTGCGCGACAGCGCGAGTGCGCGACAGCGCGAGTGCGCGACAGCGCGAGTGCGCGACAGCGCGACAGTGCGAGTGCGTGACGACGCGAGTGCGCGACAGCGCGAGTGCGCGACAGCGCGATTGCGCGACAGCGCGAGTGCGCGACAGCGCGAGTGCGCGACAGCGCGAGTGCGCGACAGCGCGAGTGCGCGACAGCGCGAGTGCGCGACAGCGCGATTGCGCGATGCGCGAGCGCGACAGCGCGAGTGCGCGACTGCGCGATTGCGCGAGTGCGCGACTGCGCGAGTGCGCGACAGCGCGAGTGCGCGAGTGCGTGACAGCGCGACTGCACGAGTGCGCGAGTGCGCGAGTGCGCGAGAGCGCGACTGGGCGACAGCGCGAGTGCGCGAGTGCGCGACATCGCAAGTGCGCGACATCGCAAGTGCGCGAGAGCGCGAGTGCGCGACAGCGCGAGTGCGGGACAGCGTGAGTGCGTGACAGCGCGACAGCGCGAGTGCGCGACAGCACGAGTGCGCGACAGCGCGAGTACGCGACAGCGGGAGTGCGCGAGAGCGCGAGTGCGCGACAGCGTAGCAGCGCAATAGTGCGACAGCCCAATAGCCCAATAGACCAATAGACCAATAGCCCAATAGCCCAATAGACCAATAGCTTCATAGCTCAGTAGCGCGACAGCGCGACAGCCCAACAGTGCAGCAGCCCAGCAGTGCAGCAGCGCAATAGCGCAGCAGCCCAATAGCCCAATAGACCAATAGCCCAAGAGCCCAATAGACCAATAGCCCAATAGCCCAATAGCGCAATAGCCCAATAGCTTAATAGCCCAACAGCCCTATAGCCCCATAGCCTCATAGCCCCATAGCCTTATATCCCCATAGCCGAATAGCCAAATAGCCTCATATTCCAATAGCCCAATAGCCCAATAGCCCCATAGCCCAATAGCCCAATAGCCCAAAAGCCCAGTAGCCCCGTAGCCCAATAGCCCAATAGCCCCATAGCCCAATAGCCCAATAGCCCAATAGCCCAATAGCCCCATAGCCCCATAGCCCATTAGCCCCATAGCCCAATAGCCCCATAGCCCAATAGCCCCATAGCCCAATAGCCCCATAGCCCCATAGCCCAATAGCCCCATTGCCCCATAGCCCAATAGCCCCATTGCCCCATAGCCCAATAGCCCCATAGCCCCATAGCCCAATAGCCCCATTGCCCCATAGCCCAATAGCCCCATAGCCCCATAGCCCAATAGCCCCATTGCCCCATAGCCCAATAGCCCCATTGCCCCATAGCCCAATAGCCCCATTGCCCCATAGCCCAATAGCCCCATTGCCCCATAGCCCAATAGCCCCATTGCCCCATAGCCCAATAGCCCCATTGCCCCATAGCCCAATAGCCCCATTGCCCCATAGCCCAATAGCCCCATTGCCCCATAGCCCAATAGCCCCATTGCCCCATAGCCCAATAGCCCCATTGCCCCATAGCCCAATAGCCCCATAGCCCCATAGCCCAATAGCCCCATTGCCCCATAGCCCAATAGCCCCATAGCCCCATAGCCCAATAGCCCAATAGCCCCATTGCCCCATCTCAATCATTCCTGCCACTCCTCCCCCCTCAATGCAGGCAGATAGCAGCGGATTGCGCCTTCTTGGAGCAGCAGCACATAATGGACTACAGCCTGCTGCTGGGCGTGCACTTCAAGGCCACACGACCCCCACCTGCCCCCATTGTCACCATCACTGACTCGCACCTTGACGGCCCGACCCCCACCTCCCTCCAACCCGCCGCGCCGCATGGCAGCAGTGCCACTGCTGTCACCAACGTGCCCGCAGGTAACTCCTGAGACAGCTTAAGCGTCATTCTATGCCGTTTCTTGTGCTGCGTGGCATGTTTACGAGTTTTCGAACCGTGTGTGTGTGTGATGCGTTGTGTGTGATGCGTTGTGTGTGATGCGTTGTGTGTGATGCGTTGTATGTGATGCGTTGTGTGTGATGCGTTGTGTGTGATGCGTTGTGTGTGATGCGTTGTGTGTGATGCATGCGTGACCCCCTCAGAGAGGGAGCAAGGGCCTGTGGGGCAAGCAGGTGCAGCGGGCAGGCAGAGCAAGGAGAGGGATGGGGAGGAGACGCAGCAGCCCCAGCAGGGCGAACGGGGCGAGCAGGCGGCATGTGAGAGTGACGCATCTGCAGCGTCTCGAAGGCTGAATGCACCCCCGCCCTTGCACCAGGTGGGCCCTTGCCCACCCCCCACCCCCTCAAACCAGCCCTATATGTTCCCTCCCTCGAAATCACTGGTGCATACTATTTCTTTCTCTCAATTGCTGTGCCTTGTCCTCTGCCCTCTCTTCGTACACCCGCCTCTCGCCTCCCTCCTCTCACCTTCCCTGACCTTTCTCCCTTCCCCGTCCCCTCCTCCCCTCCCTCTCTCTGTGCCACCATCAGCTGAGGAGGCGGCTGTTCCGTCCATGGCAGCGCATTCTCACCGACTCGCCCTCTCCCCTGCAGAGATCACTGGTGGACCCGGGGCGAGGAGGCACCACCTCCTCTCACACCTCCCCCTCCCACACCTCCACCTCTCACGCCTCCTCTTCTCAGACCTCCCCCTCCCACACTTCACCGTCTCCTGCCGGTGCCACGGCTGCTCCTCTTGCTGCCAGTGCCGGTTCTCCAGCCGCTGCTGCCAGCACCCGTGGTGCAGCCACAGCGCGGCACTTGTTCCCGCGCTCGCTCACTGCCGGCAGCAGCCCCCTACACCTGCTGGCGCCCTCGCTGCCCCACTCCGACTCCCTCACTACAGACGGCAGCAGCGTGGACGACGCAAGTGTGGAGGGCAGCAGCTGTGGCGTGGTGGAAGGGGAGGGGAGGGCAGGTTGTCATGAGGAGCTGCTGGGTTCAGCTGATGATCATGCTGCTGGTGCTGGTGGCAAGGATGGGTGCAGTAAGAAGAGCGGTAGCAACAGCAATAGCAAGAGCAAAGTATGCAGTAACGATCACCGCCATCCCACCCCGCCCCGCATTCCACCCTTGTCCCGTCTTCCTCCCCACTCTCCTGTTTCTGCCTCTGCCCCTCCTCCTTTCCCAGCCCCGACACCCGCCTCTGCCTCGGCGTTTCCCTCTCCGCCGCTTTCCTCCGCCCCCTCCCCTTGTGCCGTGGGTGCGGGAGCAAGGGCGGCGACTGGGACAGGCGGCAAGAATGCAGGTGCAACAGGGGTGGTGGTGGGGCAGGCTTCACCGGGGGAGAAAACAGGCGGACGTGGAGGAGGAGCAGTGGCAGCAGCAGCAGGAGAGGGAGGAGGGGGAGGGGGGGGGAAGGGGAGGGGGGTGGTGGGGCAGCTGTTGGGGCAGGGCATGGGGGGGACGGCAGTGAGGGTGGACAGGCGCACTCGCAGGGCCGTGAAGGACCCGCTCCTGGGGGAGGCGTACGAGGTGCTGCTGCACTTCGGCATCATTGACATCCTGCAGGTGTGGTGCAGTGCGGTGCAGGTGGGTGGTTTGGTGCATGTGAGGGGTGTGGTATGGTGCGGTTACCTTTAAGTCGGTTCAGAAGTTGTCTTGCTGCTGGGGGAGGCGTATTATGAGGTGCTGCTGTGCTGCACTTGGGTATCATCGACATTCTGCAGGCATGCCGTGTGTGTGGTGCACGTGTACAAGAGCCTGCAGTTTGACTTTGTAGTTGACTTGAAAGTCAACCAAGTGACCCAACCCCAAATGCCCCTCTGCACTCACCATCCCCCTCCATCCTCAACCAGGGGTACGACGTGGGCAAGAGGGGGGAGCACATGTACAGGAGGGAGGAGCACATGTACAGGAGGGAGGAGCACATGTACAGGAGGGAGGAGCACATGTACAGGAGGGAGGAGCACATGTACAGGAGCCTGCAGTACGACTTTCTTGTTAAGTGACCCAACGCCCCTATGCACTCACCACCCACCTGCAGGAGTACGATGTGGGCAAGCGTGTGGAGCACGTGGTCAAGAGCCTGCAGTATGACGGCCACTCCATCTCAGCAGTCAATCCCTCGCTCTACGCACGCCGCTTCCGCTCCTTCATCCTCTCCACCTTCCCCGACCCCCTCCTCCCTCACACCTCCGATCCCGATGCTCCTGATGCTGATGCTGCTCACGGCAACTGCACTTCTGATGGTGGTGCTGGTGATGGGGATGATGGTGATGCTGATGGTGATGTTGATGATGGTGGTAACGGTAATGGTAGTGATGGTGATGGTGGTGGTGGTGGTGATGGCTATGGTGATTTCCTTCTTGCCTCTCCCCCGGGAGGTGTTCGGGCGACGTGCAGCATTTTCCGGCTGTCTCACTTCTAGTGGCACACGAAACCCACTGAGCAACACATTCTATTTATTATTTATTGTACAATATCGGTACACTAAAGGCCTGCCTGCTGCACGCAGTGCAAGCTGTACAAAAATGTACTCAGGAATCATCCAACGAAACACAATAATAAAATATTCAAACCACAGCCCTTTCCCCTGGAAACTCCCCTCAAGGCCACATGCAGGGTGAGGTTGTGCTATATAGCAGGGGTGCTTTAAGCTGCCTGTGCCCCTCACTCGACTCAAGAGCCTCATGGCTGCCCCAGCTGGTGGCACTGGGGGCAGGTGCAAGTGAGCTGGTGCTGCAGCAGAGTGGCCTCGAGCTCCCGGTGCTGTGCCTTGAGCTGCTCCACATACGCCACCGCCCCATCCAGCATCGCTGCCATGTCGCCCCGCCCCCTCACTGTTTGCCGTAGCCTCTGCAGCTCCTGACTGCGTGGGTTCGAACGGGAAAGAGGGAAGGGGGGACGCAGGGGAGGAGGTAGCGGAATAATGATGTCAAGAAGAGGGATGAGGGGGTGGTGTGTGCACAGGTGGACGTTATGCAATGGGAGCATGGTGCGGGTAGGAGCATGGAAGGGTTGACGAGGCGGGGGTAAGGACCAAGGGAGTGGGGCAGGAGGAAGAGTGGTAAGTGGAAAGTGGAGGTGCATCTGGTGAGGGTCGTACCTGATTCGCTCTCTCCGCTCTTTCTCCACCACGCTCTTGTTCTTGCCGCGCCCACCAGACGAACCCGAGCCTCCCGCCCCTCCTCCCCCCTCTCCTAGAACTTCCATTCCTGACATGTCTCCTCTCTCTATCCCTCCCTCCGCCTCCGCCCCCACCTCCGCCCCTGTCCCTGCCTCTCCCTCTACAGACCCCCCAGACCCACTTGGCACGGGCGCTGTGTGCAACTCGGCAAGTGGGCGACCGCCTGTGCCATGGGCGGCAAGAGGGAGGTGTGCTTGCACGGGGGGCATGGCACCCACATGCATGATGTCACTGCTCCTTGACACTCCCATGGGATGAGGTTCCGTGGAATGAGCACCCATGGGGTTCACGGCCGTACGGTGCGTGTGCATGGGGGTGGGTGCACCCATGAGCAGGGCGTCAAACTCGCACCACATTAACTCCTCCTCCAATCCCATGCTGCCTGCCACTGATGCCGCTGCTGCTGCACCTGCTGATGCTCCGCCTGCCGTCCCCTCTGCCGCTGCTGCCCCCACATGCCAAGCCCCCTGGTGGGGCGGCAAGAATGGGTTCATGTGAGGGACAAGCGTGTTGACGGTGGAAGCAAGCGGGGTAGTGGGAGCTGGGGGCTGCCCTGGCAGGGTTGTGGCGGAGGGGGTGTTAGGCGTGCCCGGGGCATGGGGAAGGCGAGGCGCGGAGGGGGAGTGGGGGAACGCTGTTGCGGGCGCAGTGTGGGGCCGCAGAGGGATGGGTTGCGTGTGGGGGTTGAATCGGGGTGGGGAGTGGGGGGTGAGAGGTATGGGAGCAGAGTGAGGGAGGAGGGGCGAGGGGGCGGAGTGGGGTGGGGGAGGGAGAGGCATGGAGGCAGAGTGAGGGAAAAGGGGCATGTGGGGGAGGCGGGGCATGGGGGGAGGAAGAGCAGCGTGCGTGGGCCAGCCAGTGGGACTCAGTCCACCTGCAGTCGCTGTGGCACCTGCAACACCACTGCCAGCAGCGACAGCAGCAGCACTGCCAGAGAGGCTAGAAGCACTACCAGCGAGGCCAGCAGCAGCTGCAGCAGCGACAGCAGTGGGTGGAGCGCGCAAGACAGCAGCGCCCCTCCATCCGCCTGCCACTCTGGGCGCTGGGGGACCCATGCTCTGCTGCGCTGATCCCACCCGCCCCGCCTGCCACCTCTCCGCCATGCCACTGCTTCCGTCCCCCCTTACCACCCCCCCAGCCTCTGCGCCTCCTGCCCCGCCGCCCACTGCGCCAACCACAGCACCTGAATTCCCCACCCCAAAATCACTCCACTGCCCCATGCTACCCCCTCCCTGCATTACCATCCCCACTCCGCCCGCGGTTTCTCTCCGTCCTACCGCGCCCCCCTGCTCTCCTGGGCTCCCCATCAACCGCCGTCGCACGTGCTCCGCCCTGCTCCGCCCCTGCGCCCCTCCGTCCCACCCTTCTCCGCTAGCGATGGCCCTCTCGCTGCGCTCGCCGCCACTCGTCCGCGGGCGAATGGCGGAACGACCGCCGCTCGCAGTCATGCTGCGTGCATGAACAACAGGCTCCGAAATAGCAGACTCGGATGGACCAGGTTCGGAGGGGCCAGGCTCGGTAAAAGCGCCGTGGGTGCTGGCCTTACGAGGGGAGGCGGGTTCCGCGGAGGGGCGGCGCAGATGAGCGGTGAGGGCGCGCACCATGTCCTCTCGACTCGCGACGAACGCGCTGAAACGCGACGCGCTGCAGTCCACGCTGCTGCTGCTGCTGCTGCCACTCCCGCCGTCCGCCTGCTGCCTTGCGTGTGCGCCTCTGCCTACCAGACTCCCGTTTCGGCGGGGAAACGCGCATCCATCGCTTTCGCCCCGCCGAGATTCGATTACCCGCGCAATCTCCTGTGTTTCGTGGGCGAGAGACGCGGAGCTGGAGCGCGGAAGATGCGCTATGATGTCTTCTATTCCGCCGCCGCCACGCGCTTCGGCGCGATGGCGTGCTTCTGCAGACGTTACCGACATATTCTGTGCACTAGAGTCTGATCCCGTCGTTCTGACCTCTCGCGCCTCCAGGTCGTCCGTGCGCGCACGTTCCGCACGTTCGGCGCGCCGTGTCCCTCTGGTCGCCATTTCCCGCGCGCGGTCCTGTGCTTCCAGTTCCGCCAATGCGCGCGCAAGCGGATAATCGCGAGCGTCCGCCCCACGCAGGCGCGCACCCGCGGGCGCAACTTCAATGCGGCTTGCGCCCATGCGCATCGCCGCGGGGACTTCCGAAGATGCTACTGCTGCATCAGGCGCTATATTCCCATCCTCGCACCGGGCCGCGCATTTCGCATGTTGTGCTCGTTCTGGGGGGAGGACAGCGCGCCGCGGCGATGCGACGGGATGTAGCGAATGGAGAGCGGCGGCGGAAGGCGAGCGGGGGGATGGCAACGGGGAGGAAGGAAACGGCGGAGAGTCGCTCATTTCGGACAGCAGGCTCGCGAGCAGCTGTACGGACATCACGTCTGGCGCCTCGGCCTTGGACTTTCCTGTTGAAGGACCTTCAACGCGCGCCAAAAGCTCATCAGACACGTTCGCGATGCGCATCCCGGAGGCGCCGTCCGAATTCGGGGTAATGGTTCTATGGGATGTCGAAGCGCGAGCGGCGGACATAGTGACGGGAAAACGGGGAAATGACGGATTCATTTCGAAGAGATTTTATTCCCGCTGAAATAACGATGATTGCGCGTTCACCATATATTTTGCCGCTGTTTGCGCGAGGCTGGCATTGTGATGAAACTCGCGCGTGGTTTCGCCGCCGTCTGTGTTGGTATCATGGTGAATCTCGCGCGTATCTTTCTTCATAAACAGGCTCGACCTCCAGACAGATTCGATGAGGAAACCACATTACACGAGGAACTTGTAATGAGGGACGCGAATGTTAGGTGTGTATGTGTAGTGGATCTTGATAAGAGGTGGTGTGAAATGTGGAGCAATTTGGTATGGTTGCGGAAAGCAATGGGATTGAATGCTGACGGGAAGTTGAGACAGATGGAGTTGGGGGGAGTGGGTGGACAGTGTGTGCGTCCCCACAGTCAGATAGTCCACCACAGCGAGTCAGCACAGTAGCAACCCACGCATTACAAAACAAATGTGTCTCCGAGCCGCGAACTAAACATCCGCGCTGCGAATGGACATTGTGTTTCCCTCACCAACTCTAGGGCTGGTTGAAGGGGCCTGCTGCTTGATTCAAATCAAAGGGCATCATGCCTGGCACCAGTCAAAACGTCTAACAGTCCGCTATAGGTTCAGTGCGTTCTGTGGGTGTTCTGTTTGGTATCGAGGGAAAGTGTTCGGTCTTGTCTTTTGACGCTCTGGACACCTCTTGCATCCTCGACCAATCACAGACGGCCCGTTGTGGTGTGTGCGGTGTCAAATTGTCAACATGCCCACAACAAGAGTGCGTGAAAGTGGCGGCAAAGTGAAGGTGCAGGTGTGCTTCTTCTGCCTGCTGCTTGGAGGAGCCCGCCGAGGCAAATGGAATGTGCAGCGTTGTCGTTTAGATGGTCGGCAAACGGGGCAACGTGGCGGGCAACAGTGCTGTGCAGGCGCACATGCCTTTCCCATTTCCATCAGACATCCTTTTGACCACGTGTCAGCCTGAGGAGAGATATGCATGCATGGTTTAGAGCAGGGCCAACGAGGCTGTAGTATGAACGAATCAGGCCGAGATTGTCGAATTAAGAGCCAATGAGCATTCACTTTGACACAATGGACAGTGCATGAACCAGGGGGGTGAAGGCGGAGGTGCTTCCATATCGTCCCTAGTGTCTCGGTCATTCTCACCCAGCCCGGAAACAGCTAGTGTACAGTGTACCAGAGATCTGTACATTGGATAACAACCTCGTCAGCGTGGTTTGAAATATCACTGGCTTAGTCCAGAAACACTAATTCAATCTGAATGACCAGAATTGCTGACCGTTTTTCCTCCCTTTCCAGCATCAAGCACACGTGCATGGAGTGCTGCTCGCCCAGCCTAGAAGCTTCATGCTTGTCCATGGAATTAATGCTCGGTGGCAAGTCTTCTCTCCCCACTTGACGTCCTGACGTCAGACACCTCCCTCCCACTCACCAAACCAACGTTACGTGCTAGTGCACTGAGAATATTTCCCCGCTAAGAGGCTGGTTCGGAACACGTAAAGTCATTCGATATAATTTCACCAATTCAAGCACACACACAATGCACACAACGCCTTACCCTAATTTTCACATATTAAAAAATTAACGAGTTTTAAAGATGTTTTATTATACTTTATTCTTTCTTCTTCCCTCTGCGGCAAGAAATAGCATGTCCATTGATGAAGCCAATTTTTGTATTGCTCCTTGATTCCAAAAGCCATAACACTACCTGCAACTGTAAACAGATTCATGGCCAATTTAAGGGAAGTGTTGTTACGAATAGTAATTGATGAAACATTACTGTGCACTCCTGGCAGCAGCAATCGAAGAATGCAGTACCGAGTCTGAAGACGAAAGGGCGGAAGTGACGCGAAGGGTCGGGAGGTTACAAAGGGATTTGGACCGTCAAGGCATACATCATCAGGCAGCAGTAGTGGCAAGGATTCTGCCCATACATTTTCGTAACTGTCCGGAGTCGCACGGTTGGATTTCGCTGCAATAAGGGGATGTAGCCCTTGGACTACATGGCTAGCCGAGGTCGATTCGTATTCCCTTGTACTCTTATTTATATTCCTGTGTTTGCATGTTTTTATTATCTCAAGCATTTTACATCCACCCTGCTATTGAGGTCAAGGGCCCACCACTACTCAGACGTGCGCGTGCTAGATTAGTAGCTAGGAGGGTATATGAGCATCCTTAGGAGCCATGCTAGGGTTGAGTGTCGAGAGAGTTGGACAAAGAGAAAAGTCGAGAAAGAATGATTCACTAAAGGGCCAAAGGCCCAAGTTATACAAGAGACAAGTAAGGAGGGGGTGCACCACAAGCATGACAGCGATATAACTACAACTAGAACTACATGCAGTTATACAGAATTATATTATGACACACCCCCTAACTGCATGCAGGAATAGCCATGTGCATAACACCCCCTGAAGGGGTACACCCTGCGCAGCAGAGGAAGGAGAGGGCAAGTGAAGAGGAGGAGGGACCATGAGAGAAGAGGAGGTGGTGGGTGGCGGCTGAAGCTGCTGGCACACGGGCAACTGGAGCAACTGGCACACTGGCAAATGGAGCAACTGGCACACGGGCAACTGGAGTAACTGGCTCCGCGGCTAAGCGAGCGGCAGGAGCAACTGACTCACGGGCGACAGGAGCAACGGGCTCACGAGCAACTGGCGCAACGGTCTCACGGGCGACTGGAGCTGCTGGCTTCATGGCGTCCACCCCCCTACAACTTCCCCCATTCCCCCAAACCTCACTGTCACACCCTTCAGCATCCCTACCGCCACTCCCTCATCTCCCCCACCCCCCCCTCTCCCCCCCCCACAGCGGCATGTGCAGCAGTGGGAGAGAGAGGAGGAGAGGCGGCATCAGTTCACTCACACCCGCCACCCCCACACCCTCCCCCCCACTGCTGCACCCGCAGCAGGGGGATGGAGGAGAAGGGGGGGGGGCGGGGGGGCTGGTGCTGCAGATCCCCTCCCCCCCACTGCTGCACCCGCAGCAGGGAGATGGAGAAGGGAGGGGCGGGGGGGGCTGGTGCTGCAGATCCCCTCACCCCCACTGCTGCACCCGCAGCAGAGGGATGGAGGAGAAGGGGGGGGGCGGGGGGGCTGGTGCTGCAGATCCCCTCCCCCCACTGCTGCACCCGCAGCAGGGGGATGGAGGAGAAGGGGGGGGCGGGGGGGCTGGTGCTGCAGATCCCTTCCTGCCACCCCCTTAACCTCCAAGCTCCCCCCCTTCTCCCGACACAGCGACAAGTGCGGCAGGGAGAAAGAGGAGGAGGTGGTGGGCGGCTGACTACTCACACCCGCCACCCCCATACCCTCCCCCCCACTGCTGCACGCGCAGCAGGGGGATGGAGGAGAAAGGGGGGCTGGGGGAGTGGTGTAGGAGCCGCTCGGGCGACAGCAGGGCGCGCGACGGGCAGGAACCCGTCGTGCGCCACACCCGCCACCCCCATACCCTCCCCCCACTGCTGCACGGGCAGCAGGGGGATGGAGAAGAATGGGGGGGGGGGGGGGGGGAGGGGAGGTGGGTTTCTGCTGGCTTGGTGACGAAGCAGAGCAGCGGGGCGCTGGAGGTGCAACCCTCCCCCAACACCACTCCTGCGTCCCCCTAACACCCTCTCCCCCCCCTCCCCCCGCCCAAACTGCTGCACGCGAAGTAGGAGAGGGAGAAGGAAGTGGGCCGCGGGGACGACGGGAAGCAGGGCAGCGGGGCCCCCGCGCGACGGGCAGAAAACCGTCGCACACTGGGGACGAGCGACGGGCAGAAAACCGTCGCGTGCTGGGGGCGCGCGACGGGCAGAAACCGACGCACGCCCGGGGCGTGCGACGGGCAGAAACCGCCACACGCCCAGGGCGTGCGACGGGCAGAAACCGACGCACGCCCGGGGCGTGCGACGGGTAGAAACCGCCACACGCCCGGGGCGTGCGACGGGCAGAAACTGACGCACGCCCGGGGCGTGCGACGGGCAGAAAAAAAAAAAAAAAAAAAACGACGGGTGCCAGCGAGGCGGACGCCATGCGAGGATTAAAATACGGTGGGCCCATTGGGTCATAAACACTCTAATACCACGTTAGAATAGTAGCTAGGAGGGTATATGAGCATCCTTAGGAGCCATGCTAGGGTTGAGTGTTGAGAGAGTTGGACAAGGAGAAAAGTCGAGAAAGAATGATTCACTAAAGGGCCAAAGGCCCAAGTTATACAAGAGACAAGTAAGGAGGGGGTGCACCACAAGCAGGACAGCGATGTAACTACACTACAGCTAGAACTACATGCAGTTATACAGAATTATATTCTGACAGTGCAAACCTTCCTGAGGTGATCCTAGGTACGATCAACATCTGATCGCAACATGGTATGAGAGCGACTCGGGAATCCTTCGCACTGCCACCTCCGAAATCTTCGACGAACGGAAAGTGGCGTCCGGCACACGCTCGTGCGTGGAATGGCCGGAGGATCTGGTGGTCAGACGAATCTGACGGCTGAAGCGCAGACCAACCCGGCTGCGATAAGCGAGGAAACGACGACGATTGGAACCGCCGCCCTTGCACAGATGCTTCAGCGACTCATCAGCCTGGAGCAACAACTCCAAACATTGCGGAACATCTTCCCAACCCACTCAACCGGCCTCGAACGGCCACAATACCGCCCCGCACACCTTCTCCCTCGACACAAATGGCTCAACACCCAAGACTCCCCGTCCCAGCGAAGAAGCAATTCTCTCTGCGCAATCAAGGTTCTTGAGCATATCTAAAATAAAGGCAAGTGTGTGTTTTGACGGCAGAGACTTCTATACGTGGAGCTTCGAGCTGGAACTACTGCTGCAAAACGCG